GGCAAAGTGTCCCCAAGAGCCAGGGACGGACTGCGGGGAGCTGGTGGCAACCGAGTCCTCTGGGAAGGCTTTGCAGGAGCGGGGCTACCAAGCCCAGGGTGACGTTTCCCTTCGTATTTGCCTCCGTGTGGCATCAAGTCACTGGATCCCGAGGGGTCTGGGCTCTGCTGGGGAAGGGAGGGTCTGCATGGGGCAAGGACCCTCCGTTGGTCAGAGCAACGGCACGAACTTCAGCCGTAGGCAGAGCGTCCCCTTCCTCCAGGCACTCTGCCGTGCGGGCAGGGGCATTGCACGGGCTTGGCCGCTGCTCCAGGGAGTTTTTAAGAAGCGATAGGAAAATACGGCCAAGCGAGGTAGCTGGGAGATGGCTGGGATCGGCCGTTCCTTCGGAGGGGAGGAGAGTCCCTTCCTGGCAAAGGCAGCCGCGGAAAACATCTACAAATCTCGAGGTGTAACATTAGGAGAAAATGCGTGACCTTTGCAGAACTCCAGGACAGCCCCACAGCCAGGCTTATCTGAGATAAATCATGGAAACCTTGATTTAAGAGGGATGGGATATCTACCTCTTCTGTAGATGCGGAGCATTCTGTATCTGGAGGTACCTATGGATACAGAATTTGTGTGAGAGTCCAAGCGTATTTGGATGGGGGGAGGCCACGCAGGCCAACTCTTGGATTAAAATGCTGCCTCCCAAGAGCGGCCCCGGGCGTTATATCGGTGCTAATCAAAGGTGCTGGCAGCAGACTTTGCAGAGGTCAGCCTCTCGCTCAAGCTCTGGCTCCAAAAACCGGAGCTTTGCCCAGCGCGGAGTCGCTTTGGGGAATCGCGGCCTCGGGCAGCGTCGCAGTGTGCGGATCGTGGATTCGGCCACGGCATCCGCCAGCTGAGGTTGGCGCCGGAGAGCTCGGCGCTGCGTTAAGCCAAAGAGCAAGAGCATCCTGAAACGCTCGCCTGTCGCATGGAGACCGGCGCGTATCCCCGGAGGAGAAGGGGCTGAGCAGCCCCCGGGGGCAGCGCCAGCGGCACGGCTCTCGAGTAACCGCAGTCCCGGGAGAGGGGCTGGGACGCAGCCGTTTTATTTTCTGGTAAACAACCGTGTCTTTGTCATCTCTTGCTTTTATCAAGCCAAAATGACTTTGTTTATGCACCGGCTTCGTCGGCTGATGTCAGCCCCGCTCTGGGAATAGCGCGCGGTGGCTGATCGCTGCTGCAGCACCGCTCGGTGGGAGAGGAGACCGAAATACCCGGCCCGGGTTTGCTTCTCCTGCCTCTCCGG